TCACACTCAATTTTAAATGGCAGGAAAGAACTGTATGCCAGTACACTGTCCCAAATTTTGTCAATGCAGGATTTGGTGTAAACTGTACTAGTTGATCACAAGATATACCGTAGCTTGGGGAACAAGCCGGTGTGACTGCATAGTCAGTAACAGTTCCCACCATTCACTCCTGTTTCTATTCATTGTCTTAGTCTGAACCACTTCATATTTCTTTTGCCTTAAGAAACAGATGTATTTGTATTTTTGCATCAAAGCATGAACTAGGTAAAGATATGTTCTCTGGGTTCTTTGCACAAAGAAAACTTTTTTCTCTTTTTTTACAAAAGGTCAGTCACTCAGTTCTAACCCCAATATACAAGGAAGACAGGATGGAAAAGAGAGATTGACTAAATGTTTGATTAAGGGCTTAACCACATTTCCTATAAAGCATGGGCTTGAGTGGTTCTGCCTTTGTTCCACTGCCTTCCCCTGGAAAACCGCTCTTTAGCAATAAATCAGAATAAGCATCAATCTGCAGGAAACCTTATTGCTGTTTGCTCCAATTCACTGCTTAACCATGGGTTTTCCCGGAGGAAAGCAGGGATGTCATTGAGCCATACATCATTGCCAATGACGTCAGACAGGTGACCTGAACATAAGTGCTGTTTGGATGCCATATCACCCTTCCACCTATAGCCTCCCCTTTGCACCCGATTGTGTGGTTAACCTTGTTGATTTCTGAGGGAGCTAGGATATCCCACCACTGACGTCTCTCCAATAGTTCGGACCAGCAGACGGTCATTTGGGGGTAGAATCCATTAAGAGAGCCCAGTTCTGCAATGATGGCCCAGATGAGGTCTATGCCCTTCCTAGGACCAAGGTCATTCTCACCTTTCTGGATGACTAAGAGATCAGGCGGACTGGATGCCTTGATTTTGGATGGCAAGAGTGGCATCAGCTGCTCCCATCGCATACCCCTGCAGCCGAACCATGTAATCTGGACATCTGATGGCAAACTGAGTCCATGGCCTCGGGAGGAGAATGAAACATGGGCCCTTGCCCAGTGAACGATGCTGTGGCCGCGTATCCAACTTCTTTTGGGTGCCATACCTGAAAGTGAAGAAGTCAACAGGACATACTGAGTAACAGAAGGGACGTGTGAATGTATTGCCTGTCGGATGCAGAGAGCCACCTGCCCAAAGCGTTAATTTCGTCCGTGAGTGGATGCTATTGTTGCAGCACTGATTCTGAAGGAGTGGGGAGCAAAGTTGGCAGGTGGGAGGCTGCAAGCTGCTATGGCTTTACTGAGGATCAGAGAGAATTGGTGCCCGGCCAGTAGGGCCGTTGTCAAATTCTCTCTTTACCATCCTCACTTTCTCCAGACTGGCCATTTCTCCTTCCTGCCATGATTAGATGATGACTCGATGCTCTGTCTGTCACAAACGGATGCACAATATTCATGAATATTTTGCTGAATATGGATGCCCATCAAAGCAATGGGTTACACTGCAATGGACCAATATATGCTGCATGTTTGCAAGGAATCTGGGTAGTAGGAGGACTGGCTTGCAGCAGGGGTAAACAAGCCCTTACACCTACATTAGTTCATCAGGCTTGCCAGAAGAAGTAACATTAGCAGGAACATGAAAGATCCTACTAAAGGGAAGGGCAGGGGCGTGCAGATTGTTTTTCTTTTCCAAAATGTGTGTTACTCAAGGGCAGCCATTGCCACAGTAACCAAAACAAACAAACAAACAGCCGTTCAAAAACTATATAGCTACAAGACAGCTAACTTTAGTCATAATTAAGTGCACTTGGAAATCATAAAACTTAAGGTTACTTGCAACTAACTTGTTTCTGTGGGGCCCAGTGATGGCTGGATGGAGGCAAATGCTGGGAGGTTGATTTTTCAGAAGCGTTCTAGCAGCAATAGTTCCTGACTAGAAGTGTGTGAAAATAGCTCCTAGGTTGTGTTGCTCTGAGGGTGGCTTCTGCGTTGATCATTTAATTTAATATTTTAACTTTCATATATAAATCAGTCTTCCCAACCTGATGCCATCCAGATGTTTTGGACTACAATTCTCAGCTGCCGCTGTTAACATTTATATATGTAAAAAAATGTATTCTTTTTGCTTCTTTACAGGCATTTCTGTTTTGTCTCAAGCTTCAAGAATCCCTGCTTTATCTCGAAGATCAGCCCACATAATTTGTCAGTTTACCTCTTCAGAGGGCTTGGGTTCCAAATCCACATAAAGGTTGATGAAGCTGTTCTGCTTTTTTCTTTTTTTATTAGTGAAAAAAAAATCTATTCAAACACTGATTATATTATCGGTTTTAAGTTGTCCTTTGACTAGTTTTCCTTTCTGTGTTAGGTTTTTTTGCCATTGCCAAAATACACAATTTTGAATGCTATTGTCAACTGTTGTTCCTTTAAAATCTTTCCAAAGTCTTGATACGATTAAGCTTGCTGTTATCAACATATGATTAATTATTTAATTTGGATATCATAAGTATTTATCAAACTGGTGATAATTAATACATTTTGTGAAGTAATTTTCTTTCTTGAAACACCTTTTCCTCAAAATAAATAAACATTTGGACACAGCCATCATATGTGGTAACAGGTACCTCTGTAATACCCACACATCCAAAAATAAGTTATTTATATAGGAAAACTCCTGCATTATACCACCTGTGGATGCATTTTAAATATATTTTTTCATGTAGGTAAATACATTTCAAATATTTATCGTCCTAGATTGTTTTCTAGTCTTTTCTGCTAATTTCAGTTTCTAGATCCAAGTTCCCTTTTTTAGACTTTCCAGTGTACCTGTGTCTGGTAAAGGTAAAGGTAAAGGTAAAGGTACCCCTGCCCGTACGGGCCAGTCTTGACAGACTCTAGGGTTGTGCGCTCATCTCACTCTAGAGGCCGGGGGCCAGCACTGTCCGCAGACACTTCCGGGTCATGTGGCCAGTGTGACAAGCTGCATCTGGCGAGCCAGCGCAGCAAACGGAACGCCGTTTACCTTCCCGCTGGTAAGCGGTCCCTATTTATCTACTTGCACCCGGGGGTGCTTTCGAACTGCTAGGTTGGCAGGCGCTGGGACAGAACGATGGGAGCGCACCCCGCCGCGGGGGTTCAAACCGCCGACCTTTCGATCGGCAAGTCCTAGGCGCTGAGGCTTTAACCCACAGCGCCACCCGCGTCCCTCCTGTGTCTGGTATCTATGTTTAAATATTTGCCTTTCTTCCAGTGCAGTAAGTTGAGTTGCTTATCAACTTGCTCAATTATGTATGTATACACTTGTCTTACATAAAAACCATGAGTGATATTCAGTGTTACAGTAAATCCATTGGAATAAATAAATTTGAGTCACACAATTCAATTGACTTCAACAGATCTATTCTTAGTATGATTAACATTAGATATCACCCAATTTGTTTGTGTCTCTTGCAACTTTTATCTAATTTCGTGTATTGTAAATGGACTTGAATTACACACAAGCTGCTCTTGTTGTTATCATCTGTTGCATTCATTTATTTCTGTATATGAAAAGATGTCTCAAAGTGACTAGAAAACAGTTAAAAAGCAATTAAAAAGCAAATAGCAAAGAAAACAAGACACAATGATTTAAAAAATCATTAAAGTGCTCATCCAGCAATACTATAAAAAGTACAAATCCTATTCCATCCCACTAAAAGTGAGCACTACAGTAAAGGTCCAAATTATTCCAAGATATGATCCAAACTTATAATCAGAAACCTAGACAAACAACATCTTAAGGTGAAGTACTGAAAAGCTGGCAAGAGCATTCCACAAATGGGGAACCACAACTGAAAAATCCTGTTTTTGTGTTGCCACCCTCCTCACTTCCCTCGTTGAGAAGGGCCTCTGATAAAGACTGTGGGGTCTAGGCTGCTTCATGTAAGGAGAGCTGTTCCTTGAGGTCCTTATCGTAAATATGAAAACCTCAGTTGTGGAAAGGTACAGTGGTACCTTGGGTTAAGTACTTAATTCGTTCCGGAGGTCCGTTCTTAACCTGAAACTGTTCTTAACCTGAAGCACCACTTTTGCTGATGGGGCCTCCGGCTGCTACTGCACCGCCGGAACACGATTTCTGTTCTCATCCTGAAGCAAAGCTCTTAACCTGAGGTACTATTTCTGGGTTAGCAGAGTCTGTAACCTGAAGCGTATGTAACCTGAGGTACCACTGTAATTGAGGGAGGAGAGTGGAGGAGAGTAGAGGTGAATGGGAGGATAAATAACCCTTCTCCACTCAGGGGCGGAGGAAGGTGGGTGCGGTAGGTGCGGGCCGCCCCGGGTGTCACCACTGGGGGGGGGGTGACACAATGCCAGGCAGCACTCACCGCGGGGCCTGTAGCACGCGTCTCTCCTGGGAGAGATTTGGCAGCTTGTGCACGCGCAGGCTCTACGCTACACAAACGGTCCGTTCGCTGCCTCTGCCCCGGCTGTAGAGTGGCTGAGTGGGAGGAGGCAGGCAGACTCCGGAGTCCCCGCGGTGCGCCCTGCCCCCATGGGTGTTTTGCCCCACCCCTGGGTGCACCGGCCCCAGGTGCCCGAACAGCTTCCTCTGCCACTGCCTCCACTTGCTATTTTTTCACTGCTATTTCTTCAACGTTCTCCAGGTTTGCCACGAAATATCTGGTTTGGGTCTAAGCCCTCATAAGGCTTCATCCAGAAGACATCAGATGTACACACCCTCCAACATTTCTCCAATGATTGCCTTCAGATGGCTTGGAGGTCAGCTAACTCCAATGAAAGTAGGGACATCCTAAGTTCAAGTGGGACATTCTGGGATCAAACCAGAAATTGGGACGGCCTTCTCTAAATCAGGGATGTCCCTGGAAAATAGGGACACTTGGAGGGTCTGAGATGAGTGTTGCTCTCTCTTATCTTTTGCTCTCTCTTATCTTAGCTGCTCACCTCTTCTGAATTGGTTGCCAGCAGTACTGACTTTGAGACAAATTCACTATCGCATTTGCTATCCCTAGCAAGGGGAGGAGCCATAGCTCAGTGGTAGACCATGCGCCTTGCATGCAAAAGTCCCTAAGTTCAATTCCTGACATCTCCAGGGAGAGAATCCTGTCTGAAACCCTGGAGAGCTGATGGCAGTCAGTATCATCGGCACTGAGTTAGTCGGACCAATGGTCTGACTCAATATAAGGAAGCTTCCTGTGTTCCTAACACCACAATGGTTGTTAACCTTTAAAAAACAACAATCAGGAAAATAATTCTGGCCTGCATACTGCTTTCACTTGCAGTTTTTTCAGTAAGTTATATGATCCATGCTCATCTCTATTTTTAGCAGTCTATGCTAGGGGTGTGTACTGGCTGCAAGATTCAACTTGCTTTGGGAAACGGCCTAGTTTGTTTCTTAGCTGCTCTGTGTCCAATTCAGTTTGTTAATAGGGACTAACTGCATTAGAGCTGTTAAGAATATAGCTCTGTTCCCTCCCCATTCTTTATAATGGGGAGTCTAAAAGCAGTTATATATATATTTTTTCCTTTTCAGATGCATTTTTGATCTTTGAGGGGATAGCAGCACCTCCGGAGTGGCTTTAAAGTTTGATGGGGTGTGCGAAGGGAAGACTTTATCATTTGGGGGTGAGGAAATATCACCCCCCCAACAAGAACTCTGCTACCCCCAAATCGTTGGTGAGAGTGTGCTTCTGTCACTCGCCCCCCCCACATATTTTTGGGGTATGCAGCCTGGGAGAGAGAGCTCTCTCTTTTGATTTGAATAGCAGGAGAAAGTGGTAGAAAAATTGCATAAATCCTCAGGAAAGACAGGTGGGAAAAATATAATTCCATTGACTTGTACAGGAGAAGGCACAGATCCACAGAACAACATAGTTGTTAATCCCTGGACCTGTCATGTTTTTAGGCTAGACCTGATCATCGAAACAAAAGATGATCTCGCAATTCCTTTCCTCTTGAGCTCTGGCCATTTACCTAGTCAGCTTGGTCTCGTTTCTCAGGCTTCACAAGAATATTTGTGTAGAATAGTGGGTAGACATGGCAGACAACACAGCGATTTCTCCAAAGCAGCTCTTTATTTGTAAGTTGGAACAGAACTGAACAGCAAACAGCTCAGCTGGCCTGCTTTTATAGGCAGCCGGCTGTCAACATTGTAGCAACAACAACCCAGGGTTTCCCGCCTAAAATAACTGACGTGGACCTGAGTGAAAACTATCTACAGTATCCCCCTGCTGGCCCAGGGTGAGAACTTCAGTACATAACAATTTGCATATTGAAAATCTTGAAAAACCTATCCTGCACATAGAACAGTAGCCTGTCAGGGAGAAGAGTCCAGTCTGACCTCCCTCAGTGTGTTATTCTTCTTTATTCCCCCCCCCTCACCAAGAGGTATTCAAATAGACCACTTCCCCAGAGATGCTGTTTTTGTGAACTGGCCTGTATTTTAGGGACTCTGAGGGAAAACACAAGGATTTAATGGGGCAAAAAGAGAACGACATCTGAGTTTCAACCTATCTGCCTGAAAAGAATAATGTTGTAGGAAGAGTGCTTAATATAAAAACTGAGGCCTAGTTTTACTGAGGTGGTGAATTTCCATCCAGGCCGTACAATTTCATGGTGGTGGGTGAGGGTTTGCATAATTGAATAGCTCTCCATTAAAATAATAATAATCCAAAACCAAACTCCTTTCTCTGTCAGAAGATCAGATTCCATCTAGTTTTCTATGTACAGTAATGTGATTTTTGTGTGTGGAAAGCGTTCAGCCCCAAGAGTTTCCAGCTGCCCTCTGATGTGGTATTGCCAAGACAGTTTTACTGCTTCAGTGACAGCTACAAATGCCTGACTTAACCAATTTCCCCTGTGCTATCCTGCAAAGGTGCCTCAAGCTGCCATAGCTAAAAACAACAACAGCAGCCTTTCTGAAGGTTATGCTCAGCATAGCAGACAACTGCCTGTATTTAATAGTAATCCTTATCTCGTAACCATAAAAGCCCAAGTTTCCATGTGCACTTCGAGGATAAGCACGTACTGAGAGGTTTGGAGGTGTGACCTACAACTTCTGCAGAAAACAGTTAAATATAATCCTGTGCTTATTTGCTTCTGTGAAAGAGGTTGCTGTAAGAGATGCTGCCAGACCATCCAAGCTCAGGGGAAAGGGTATACAACTTGACGCCTTCCTCAGGTTCAGGACTCCCAGAAGCCTTCGGTGTACTTACTGGTTCCAGCAACAGGTCTTATGAGCCTCTTTCCATTGCAAATACGTGGATTCACCCACACCAGAAAAACAAAACCTGCTCAAAATGCTTTCAAATGATCTTCAGAGAAGGAAAAGTACAGTGGTACCTCGGGTTAAGAACTTAATCCGTTCTTAACCTGAAACTGTTCTTAACCTGAAGCACCACTTTAGCTAATAGGGCCTCCTGCTGCCGCCGCACCGCCGGAGGACAATTTCTGTTCTCATCCTGAAGGAAAGTTCTTAACCCGAGGTACTATTTCTGGGTTAGCGGAGTCTGTAACCTGAAGCGTCTGTAACCTGAAGCATCTGTAACCCAAGGTACCACTGTACAGAGATAGGCTACCCAAATGCTGTATTTAATATTGTTTTTGGACAGTATGCATACCCTCAAACATTTCTCTGATGGAAATAGGGACATCCTATTCATCCTATAGTGTTGGAGAAGACTCTTGAGAGTCCCATGGACTGCAAGAATATCAAACCTCTCCATTCTTAAGGAAATCAGCCCTGAGTGCTCACTGGAAGGACAGATCCTGAAGCTGAGGCTCCAACACTTTGGCCATCTCATGAGAAGAGAAGACTCCCTGGAAAAGACCCTGATGTTGGGAAAGATGAAGGGCACAAGGAGAAGGGGACGACAGAGGACGAGATGGTTGGACAGTGTTCTTGAAGCTGCCAGCATGAGTTTGACCAAACTGCGGGAGGCAGTGGAAGACAGGAGTGCCTGGCGTGCTCTGGTCCATGGGGTCACGGAGAGTGGGACACGACTAAATGACTAAACAACAATAACAACAAATTCAATCATCATCATTGTCTTTATTCCCCGCCCATCTAACTGAGTTGTCCCAGCCACTCTGGGCGTCTTCCAACATATATAAAAACATAATAAAACATTAAATGTCAAAAAATCTTCCCTACACAGGTCTGTCTTCAGATGTCTTCTAGAGGTTGAATAGCTGCTTATCTCCTTGACTCTGGGATTGCATAACTCCATACAGGAGCCAGGATTTTTGTTGGGAGAGCAGAACCTCAGTTTGCTATGTATCTTTATTGATTTTTATAGATTTAGCTGCCCCTCCCTGCCCCCCCTTGGCTACGCCCATGACTCCATACCCTCCGACATTTCTTCAATGAAAATAGGGACATCCTAAGGAAAAGTGGGACATTCTGGGATCAAATCAGAAACCAGGGCGGCTTCTGTAAATCCAGAACTGTGCCTGGAAAATAGGGACGCTTGGAAGGTCTGGGTGATTGCATTTAGCTAATTACCCCTGCTTCTAGGGGGAGTGGAGGAGAAAAGAAGGATCAATGGAATTCACACCTCCCATTTATTCCTACTTTGATTATTAAAAGAGGCCTGAGGGCCCCATTGTAGCAGGTTGAAACAAGCAGCGTGCAGCAGCCCGTATATCAGACCGAAGCAGGCGCATGAAGCTGCTGCAAGATGGGCAGGACTCAAGAGGCAGCAGAAGGATAGCGTGAGCCACGGGCTGCCAAGGTATGAACGTCGAATGTTTGTGACCCACAAGATAATTGTGCACGGGAAGGAGAGAGGCAGGCAAAGGCTGCATGCAGTGTTGAATCCATCCTCACACAATGGAGTTATACTGCAGGAAGAGGAAGGAAATGGTGGGCAGGGAAAATAAAGTGGCTATGACCTGCTGTGTGTTCCAGGAGGAAAGGGTGTTATAAGGGGAGGGTTGGCAGAGAAGCTTCCAAGTTCTGCTGCCTTGAAGGATGTTATTTTGACCAACCCTCTCTGCCTCTCCTCCTCCTTTGTGCCTCCAGCTAGGGAAGGAAAGGAAGGCTTTGTCTCTGATCTGGAATGATATTCTTTGCAAGCCCTTGAGGGGAAGGTGGAAGGAAGGAAGAAATCTTCAGGAGCACACATTTCGCTGAAGACTCTGCAGTGAAATCATGAGGACTCCACAGCAGGTAGTACAAAAGCCAGCTTTCCTCTCTTTCTGTGCTTTTATTATTTTTATCCAATTGCATTTCCTCTTCTGTTTGCGTATTTTCCCAGCTGGTACATGTCTACGTGCTCCAAAATAACTTGGGTCAGGGGTTAAAATGGCCTTTCCTAGACTTCTGACATTAAGATTTTACGTTGCGAGTTTTGGAATGCAGAATTTGAAATTTCAAAATGGTATTTGTTTTCAGCATCCCGATCCACAGGTCAATAATGAATTTTGTGTGTTTTCAATGCCAGGCCCAGCTTTTTAGGACAGATTAATTAATGATTAAGATGGTAGTGCATTTAAGCATGTACAGAATGCCGTTCCACCCCTCTGGGTCATCTACAGCCATACTAGGCCAGATGCCTCTCTTTTTAGAAATTAAGCGATGGGTATTCTGAGATGCGGATGCGGATATATGGGATGCGGATGGCGCTGTGGGTTAAACCACAGAGCTTAGGACTTGCCGATCAGAAGGTCGGCGGTTCGAATCCCCGCAACGGGGTGAGCTCCCGTTGCTCGGTCCCTGCTCCTGCCAACCTAGCAGTTCGAAAGCACCCTTAAGTGCAAGTAGATAAATAGGTACCACTCCAGCAGGAAGGTAAACGGCGTTCCTGTGCGCTGCTCTGGTTCGCCAGAAGCAGCTTAGTCATGCTGGCCACATGTACGCCGGCTCCCTCGGCCAATAAAGCGAGATGAGCGCAGCAACCCCAGAGTCGGCCACGACCGGGCCTATTGGTCAGGGGTCCCTTTACCTTTACCTTTTATTCTTATAATAGTTTTGCTCCAAGAGATATATGGATGCAATGTTTTCTTTACTTTTTTAAAAAGTTGCCACTTTTTGTTGATGCACCTGTGCAGTCATTATAGAGTACAGTGGTACCTCAGGTTACATACACTTGAGGTTACAGACGCTTCAGGTTACAGACTCTGCTAACCCAGAAATATTACCTCGGATTAAGAACTTTGCTTCAGGATGAGAACAGAAATCGTGTTCCGGTGGCGCGGCAGCAGCGGGAGGCCCCATTAGCTAAAGTGGTGCTTCAGGTTAAGAACAGTTTCAGGTTAAGAACGGACCTCCGGAACGAATTAAGTACTTAACCCGAGGTACCGCTGTAGTCTATTAAGTTTCTTTATGTCCTAGTTTTCCAAAGATTTGATTTATGTCATAGATATACTCCAACTGTCCCTGTTTATCTTGTTTCCTGGTACCAGTCTCTCGTAGAAGGCTATAACTCTTTTTCCGTTTGGGAAGATGCCAGAAATACCTTTTAACAATTTTGTTAGCAGGCACACACATGCACTAGAGTTTTTCAGGTTGAGCCTGCTTTCCCAGGTTCCTTGATGTTAGATATTTGAGTGGTGGGAGAGATGCATCTTGACTCTGTACATGTTCTCACACATGCACACATACATGGTTACAAAATTCCAGTGTCCTGCCTCCCACCCTACAAAGTAGGGTCTTATCTGGACAGTAAATATTGTTGCTTTTTATATGGTATTGCCAGATGATCCACGGTGGATTGTATTGGATATTAAATATTGCATTAAATGTCTTTGCATTTTAAAATGCAACTTTCAGAATAAAAGATGGAAATTCCAAAACGCGCAATTGCGGGAGAGAGAGAGCTCAGGCAGCGATCCTTGGGTATGAGAATGGGGTTTTAGAGATTCATAAGGGTATCCATATTTTCTTCTTTGGAAATGTTGCAGGGCGAGTATGAAAAAACTGCAAGTTGCAACCCAAGGTAAGTTCTGGAAGTCTTGAAATCATTCAGATCTCTGTTGGGGCTGTCTGCAGTGCACTTGGGCATTGCCGATATTCTGGAGCTATTTATTTCTCCAAACAAGTGAAGGTACAGAATGGGTCACATACGGGAAACATAATTTTTACATGAATTTGGACTTTTCTTCCTTAAATAAAAAAAATGTAAGAATGTCACTGTGCACCCCCCACCCACCCACCCACTGGGTTTGTAGTGCCTTATCACAATTCTGGATTTGCATGAAGTCAAGGAGGGGTTGGGGAGGAAAAATCAATGCAGTTTGCACAACAACAAACTATTGCATGGGAATGAGAAGAAAAGACCTTGAGAGGGGAAAAGTGGTTGTTTAAAACAAGGGCGGAGGTTTGAATGAAGCAGAGGTGATGATGATGATGATGATGATGATGATGATGATATATTGTTCTAAAAAGAGATGTTCCAAACACTGTAAGCATTCATGTAAGCATTTTCATGAATACATTCTATGTGATGTGAAGAGAAGAGCACAACCACATCCCCTAAGTGAGAAGTGATGGCTCTGTTTTCATATACTTTTTTTCTTGTTATTTCAGGCCTATGAGGACTCAGGAGAGGTTGTGAAAAGACATCAGAAAGCCAAAATCATGTTCCTTTGTGCTCTGCTGTTCATCGCTTTCCTTGGCCTCCTGCTAGTCATTATCTTCACTGCTGTTACACGTAACCTAGGTACTAGAATACTCCTTCCCTATGACTTACTCTTTTCTGGCTGAGAGGCAGTGTGGTGTAGTGGTTAAGAGCGGTAGTCTCGTAATCTGGGGAACCGGGTTCGCATCTCCGCTCCTCCACATGCAGCTGCTGGGTGACCTTGGGCTAGTCACACTTCTTTGAAGTCTCTCAGCCCCACTCACCTCACAGAGTGTTTGTTGTGGGGGAGGAAGGGAAAAGAGAATGTTAGCCGCTTTGAGACTCCTTAAAGGGAGTGAAAGGCAGGATATCAAATCCAAACTACTCCTCCTCCTCCTCTTCTTCTTCTTCTTCTTCTTCTTCTTCTTCTTCTTCTTCTTCCTCTTCTTGTCCATATGAGGGATTTCCCCTTATCACTTGTTCACTCCCTTTGAAATGTAGGCAGCCAATGGCTGGGACCAGTGGCTGTGTCCACATGTATGCTAAACCATGGTTTTAGCACAGTGTTGGGGAAGCCATCCAGAAGTCGTTGGACTACAACACCCATCACACCTGACCATTGGCCCTGCTGGCTGGGGCTGATGGAAATTGGAGTGTAACTGCATAGTTCCTCAACCCTAATTTAGTGCTATGTTGACAAGTCAGCACAAGCCCGAGCAAAACATCGATTTTGCACACTCCCCTGTCCTCCCTACGGCCGTTGCCTATTCCCTGCTAAACGTTGTCTCTACATTTCTCTAGAAACATGCAACACTACAACATGCCTTGCGTTCCTGCTGAGGTTGCTGAATTCCCACAACAACACCATTGATCCCTGTGACGATTTCTACAGCTACACTTGTGGCAACTGGGAAGCTAACCATACGCAGGGGCTAAACATGCCGTTGGTGAATGTCTTTGATGTGCTCTTGGAAGAAAACCAGCTGATCATGAGGCGGCTCTTAGGTAAGGAGAAGAGACAGATGGTGGCTGCTGTGTTCGGAATCCTTTACTATTGTGGCGGGGGGTGAGGAACCTATTCCAATAAGACGTGTCAAGACATCATCCATCACAAGAACACATATGCACCACTAGCACTAATAATGTTCACCCTGTGCCATCACAAGAAGGTTCATCCAACTGGTGCATCTATCCATCATTAAAAGAACCATACCTTGCGCAGAACCATTTCAGATGTTAACTTTTGATGTGGTAATGCCACCACTAGATAACATTTTCCTGCTGTTTCGATGTGCTGAACCAAAATGTACTTTAAGGGGAAGGGGGGTTGTTTTTAATATATACTGAGCACATGTGACTATACATGCCCATATATCTATTCCTTTTAATTCCTGCTTATATTGATTCCTCCTGCCCCCTTCCCTCCCCCTGATGTCTTCCTCACTGTCAAAAGTTATATTGCATGTTTTGCGGTTTAGGGACTTGTCCTTTTTTAATCATGGAACTGTGCAAAGTGTTGTCCACGTTGATTGCACTATTCTAAGTAAACGGCTAGAGTTCTTATAGCTAATAAGAAATTGCTAATTAGTTCTACACTACATTTGAAATTCAGCCCTATCTTTACCACCCACTGCATTCTGGTCCTCGTTGCCCTTTTAGCACTGTCAGGTCACAAAACTACAGGGACAGTAGAAGCCACAAGTGGCAAAATTCCCCATCAGGGTCTAGACTTCAGAACTAGCAATGACACGTCCCCATACCTTCCTATTGCCTTCTTGCCAGTGTAGTATGCAGCCCATCTTTGCTATATATACTATATAAAGGTAAAGGTAAAGGGACGCCTGACCATTAGGTCCAGTCGTGACCGACTCTGGGGTGGCGGCGCTCATCTCGCTTTACTGGCTGAGGGAGCCGGCGTACAGCTTCCGGGTCATGTGGCCAGCATGACTAAGCCGCTTCTGGCAAACCAGAGCAGCGCACGGAACAACAGGACAGAGCAACAGGAGCTCACCCCATCACGGGGATTCGAACCGCTGACCTTCTGATCGGCAAGTCCTAGGCTCTGTGGTTTAACCCACAGCGCCACCCACGTCCCTTTGTATACTATATAGACAGAGGCAAAAGAAAGACTGGCCAAGAAGCAGGATGACTAAGAGCGGCATTGGTTCTGCCTCTTGATCAAACTGCCAGCATTGCTGTTTCACTGCGCATTTTATCTTCTGCCATCTCCAGGTTAATTTGCTCTGCTTATTAACTTCCAACCGTTTTTTGTGTGTTACCTGCCTTCTCTTCCTCAGAAGAGCCACACCTGGGGTTTAACAGCTCAGCAAAGGAGAAAGCCGTACAGTTTTACACCTCTTGCATGAATACAGAACAGATTGAAGCTCAAGGTGCTCAGCCTTTGGAGGAGCTCATAGATAAGGTGATGACTGCACACAGATGTGCACATATGCCCCTGCACTTGCACAGATATGTCCTTGAACATATCTAGGCCCATCCTCTTCCTACCAGCAGTAGAATAAAACAACAAGTAAGTTGGATAAGCTCAACTCATAAACAACCTGCATCTCACGTCACTAATGAGCCGATGATTGTTTGGTAGGTTGTATCAATACAGTAGTACCTCAGGTTATGAACATAATTCATTCCGGAGGTCCGTTCTTAACCTGAAACTGTTCTTAACCTGAGGCATGCTTTTGCTAATGGGGCCTCCGCTGCCACTACGCTGCCGGTGCATGATTTCTGTTCTCATCCTGGGGCAAAGTTCTCAGCCCAACACACTACTTCCAGGTTAGCGAAGTTTGTAACCTGAAGTGTTTGTAACCCGAAGCGTTTGTAACCCGAGGTACCACTGTATTCGTTTTTGGCATGTATCCATAAAACACCAGCATTTCTTACAATGTGCCCTATCCTATCTTTCTACCCTTATTTCCTGTTATATCTCAAGTTGAGGCTAATACACCTTTTGGCTTTTGCTCTCATTTGTCCTTGTTACCTTTATCTCTTCCCCTCCTTCAGCGCCTCCCACTACTGAAATTTAGATTGCAGGACCTTTGGGAAAGGATTTCTCAAGTTTGGGTTTTTGCTAATCTGCAAAGTGCCATTCACATTGATGGTGCTATACTGTAGGAATCACAAATCTTACTCTCTTTTTCTGTAACTGATAAAGTGATCATAACGTTCACATCACTCAAACATTGATTCCTCATCCATCACTCAGGTGGAATTTATTCGAAATTTTGAAAAACAAAACCCAACTCTCTCATTTTGTCTTTGCTCAGATTGGTGGCTGGAATATCACAGGAACCTGGAAGGAGACAGATTTTAACCAGACTCTTCAGATACTCATGGGAAAATACAATACGTTCCCTTTCTTCAAAGCCTATGTGGGACCCAATGCTTCTGATCCAAGCACCAATATTATCCAGGTAGGGAACACCAGCAGGCAAAAGTTAGTTGTCAGAGTTGGATCATGAGAAATGCAGTCATACTGGGGAGCATTTTAAGAAAGTTTGCTGCCTGAAATCCTGCAGAGCTGCTGCCAGTCAGTGCATGCTGTGGGTGGGCAGAGTTCTGGATCTGTTTTGTGTTTTGAGAATCCACAAATCTACCAAACTGAGCCAAGTGCAAAAGACACAGAGCTAGAATTAAAGAACAAGGCACCACTGACTGGTCATATTCAGAGTCTAGCTCTTTGTTTTTAGTACCCAAGTTGAACTGAGCCCACAAGCCTTTCACCCAACACTCTACTCCTGGTTAGCTGCCTTCATTTCAGCAGCCTTGTTTAGCCTTTAAACAACTGCGAATCAGAAACCAATGAGCAGGTCCAGAGCTGTCTACCTTTTGGTGCTGTCCAATACACAGCGAAGCATACAGAGCACTGGGAAAGTACACGTTGTGGTACAATTTGGACTTGAGTTGATAAGGGAGCACTGGGGCAGATCCCACTGTATACGTGTGTGCAATGTGCATACATATCAAATGGCCACCTGTGCAAATGCAATTAAAAACAGCATGCGCTGACATGGTAGACATTTGCTGCGGGCCCTGCTGTTTCCATTGGAGGGATTTCCATAGAGTTCAATATTCACCGTATTCCCCTCCCCTTAGGAGTTGCAACTCTGGCATCATTAAACCCCCACAATCTTCTGGCTATTGGTTTTTTTTGTTACCCATCTATAATGACACTCATATTTATTCTGTCCATGTCTTCCTATCTCAGATTGACCATCCAGAGTTTGAGCTGCCTCCAGAAACACAGTTCAAGAAAAAAGGGACTTATTCCCAGGTAAAAAGTCCTACATGACAGTTGGGTCACTGGTGGAGCATTTCCACAGCCAGTCTTCATTGGTGTTGTATGAGAAACCATTATTTGGAAAGTTATGGAACTGCTGAGAATTGAGGAAGTGTATTTGCATGTGCAAACATATCCTGTGGGCATGGACGTAGCCAGGGTTTTTTTTGGGGGGGGGACAGGCCTTTTGTTATGGGGGGGCAGAACCTCAGGAGGAGCGCCTCCACCCCCATCGTTCAGCCCAGACACCGAGGTCCAGCTCCGAGGGCCTTCTGGTGGTTCCCTCTCTGTGAGAAGTGAGTTTACAGGGAACCAGGCAGAGGGCCTTCTTGGTAGTGGCGCCCTCCCTGTGGAACACCCTCCCATCAGATGTCAAGGAAATAAAGAACACAAAACTTTTAGAAGACATCTGAAGGCAGCCCTGTTTATGGAAGTTTTTAATGTTTGATGTTTTATCGTGTTTTTAATATTTTGTTGGGAGCCACCCAATATTATTATTATTATTGATTTAGGGTGGCAGCTGCCCCTCCCTGCCCCCCTTGGCTATGCCCATGCCTGTGTGCCAGGGCTGCTAGTCTGGAGATAAATAGAAATTCAAAAAGCAGCACATATGGGGAAATCAGGCCAGAGTTTGGCCTTTACAGGACCAAATAGAACTGGATCAGCTGGGGGTGTCACCTGGTGGATCTTGTATCTTCAGTGCCATCTTCTGGCCATCAGCTGTGGCAGTGCTTGAAGAGCAGGAGGTGGGATTCTAGCTGCTCATCATTTAACAGGTTGACCTTGCGGCACAGAAGATAAGATGCTGGGGTCCCACTGCTAGGAACTTGGTTTCAGACCCCAGGCTACATATGCTATATTATTATCGATTTAGTTTTACCCTGATGGGACTCAAGGCAATTTACAGATATAAACAAGATAGAAAAATCCATCGTTAAAATGCAATTAAACACTGGCAGAATTTAAACTATATACATCTATAAAATCTGTTTAAAACATATCAATAATGACAATTAAAAACAGCACAGCACTCGCCCTGAAATTAAATGAAGCCAATTCTCAAAAGTCTGGTGGAACAAGGAAGTCTCTTCGGCTGTCTAGCTTCTCTAGGGAGGGAGTTCCAAATTCTGGGAGCAGCTATGTTCCCTCTCTTGTGACCCCCCCCCCCAAAGCATGTCTGGGAGGGTTGCGGGACCAAGAGAGCGGCCTCCCCTGAAGATCTCAAAACCTAGGTAGCTTTGTATGCAGGAATATGGTCTTTCAAGTAGCTTGGAACTAAGCTGTGTAGGATTTTATAGGTCACAACCTTCCCTTTGAATTGCACCTGGAAACAGACGGGTAGCCAGTGAAGCTGTTCTCACAAGGGAGTTGTATGCTCCCTATAACCAGCCCCGTCCAACAATGTGACTGCAGCTCTTTGCACTGGTTGAAGTTTCTGAGCACTTTTCAAGGGCAGCCCCACATAGAGCACATTACAGTAATCCAAACATGGTGTAACTAGAAGGCATGTGTCACCTTCCAATGTCTGCATTGATTCAAATAATCTTGGCCAGAGAAACCTACATTATATTTAAAAGTGCTTAATCTTAAGTATAAGGGACGCGGGTGGCGCTGTGGGTTAAACCACAGAGCCTAGGACTTGCTGATCAGAAGGTCGGCGGTTCGAATCCCTGCAACGGGGTGAGCTCCCGTTGCTCAGTCCCAGCTCCTACCAACCTAGCATTTCGAAAGCATGTCAAAGTGCAAGTAGATAAATAGGTACCACTCCGGCGGGAAGGTAAACGGCGTTTCCGTGCGCTGCTCTGGTTCGCCAGAAGCGGCTTAGTCATGCTGGCCACATGACCCGGAAGCTGTATGCCGGCTCCCTCGGCCAGTAAAGCGAGATGAGCACAGCAACCCCAGAGTCGGTCACGACTGGACCTAATGGTCAGGGGTCCCTTTACCTTTAATCTTAAGTATGGGTTGAGTTCAAGGATAGTGGATAGTAAAGGTGGATAGTAAAGGGGCCTAGGGAGGGGTAGGAGATATCTGAAGAGTTTTATACTTTGGTCTAATGGGTCAAATGCCTCAGAGATGGAGATTCTGTTTGACAGCAAGGTTTCGTTTACAGGTTCTGCGTTTGTACTTCCAGTACCTCACAAAGCTAGGACACCTGATGGGAGGGCGTACAGACGTTACCACCACTTACATCGCCTTGGCATTCTCCTTTATCTCCAACCTCCAGAAGGCAGTTACGCCCTTGAAGATGCGAAAGGAAAAACGGATGCTATTTTACTCCACTACCATCAAGGAGCTGCAGGTATATATACATCCTGCAGCCATGCATGGCGCTGTGGTCTAAACCACTGAGCCTCTTGGGCTTGCCGATCAGAAGGTTGGCCGTTCGAATCCCCGCGACGGGGTGAGCTCTGTCTCAGCTCCTACCAACCTAGCAGTTCGAAAGCACGCCAGTGCAAGTAGACAAATAGGTACCACTGCAGCGGGAAGGTAGACAGCATTTCCGTGCACTCTGGCTTCCTCCACAGTGTCCCATTGTGCCAGAAGTGGTTTAGTCATGCTGGCCACATGTCCCAGAAAGCTGTCTGTGGACAAACACTGGCTCCCTTGGCCTGAAAGCGAGATGAGCACCGCACCCCATAATCTCCTTTGACTGGACTTAACCATCCTTTACCTTTTACCTTTTAGTGGAGAATAACAAATATGTCAGGTGGTATTCACCTAACAAGTCCCATCAACAGATACTGTACCCTGCACAAGAATGTCTGGTTGCACAATGCGACTTTCTCTTCATGTATCCCAGTGCCCCCAAAACTGGCTTGCTGTATGTGTGTCCGGAGAACTCCAGAACAGTACGTGGGGGGGAGAGGGTAACATTCAATCTGGCAAGCTGAATTTCTAATGGCACATTCAGCACAGTGTGTTGTTGAATCCCTCCCATCCAGTTCATCATGGAGATCTGATGAAGGCTGCCCTTACAGGACATACTGGTCTTTCCCCCCCTGAAATGGTTCCTTTTTTTGTTGTTCATGAGTAATCTACCGTATTTTTTGCTCCATAGGACGCACCTTGTTTTAGAGGGGGAGTACAAGAAAAAAAAATCTCCCCCTCTCTGCTCAGCGCCCCTTCAGCGAAGCGGCAGGAGAAACGGAGCCCCTTCCATTTCTCCTCCCGCTAGGCTGAAGGGGCGCTGCACATCTCTCTCTCTCTGCTGAAGCCAGGAGAGTCTTGGTCTCCCGGCTTCAGCGAAACGAACCTGAAGCCTCCGGAGCGCAGCGGGAACTCGCGCTGCGCTCCGAAGGCTTCAGGCGGCTATCCCTGAAGCCTGGAGAGCGAGAGGGGTTGGTGCGCACCGACCCCTCTCGCTCTCCAGGCTTCAGCGAAAGCAACGCGAAGCCTCCGGAGCGCGGAGGGAGCACTCCCTCTGCACTTCGGAGGCTTTGCGTTGCTATCGCTGAAGCCAAGGAGCCTGCATTCACTCCATAGGACGCACACACATTTCCCTTTAATTTTTGGAGGGGAAAAAGTGCGTCCTATAGAGTGAAAAATACGGTATATTATAATGCACTAGGAGGTTTTTGAAATGCCTGACAGTGATCAGTTGAGTCTTCTTTATATCATAGAGAGGCAGGCTAAGTAGAAGGGTGCCTGGTTGCCACGGAAGGAGAAAGAGAAGAAACATGGGTCTGGGAAAAGGAGGAGTCAGAGGCAGCCTTCATTCGAAAAACTGGAGTTAAGAGGCATACAGTCAGTGGAGGAGTACTACTGCCTTCATGCCTCTCTTGTGGGTTTCCCAGAGGCATCTAGCTGGCCACTTCTAGACTAGAAGGATCTTTGCTCTGCTCCAGCAAGTTTCTTTTGGTTTTGCACTCATTATACAGTAAGCCTGCGACTTACGTGCATTTAACTTGTGCGCATTCAGCTTTATGCATATAGCAAAATAAATAAATAAATAAATAAATAAATAAGGGGGTGGGATGTGGGCTGGGTTCTGGCAAAGATGACTTTGGCAATCCTGCCTGCCATTGAACCCAGTGAGCTTTGACTATATGCGATTTTGGCTTTAGGCACAATCCTTGGAGGCTAACCCTCGCGTAAGTTATAGACCTACAGCATCTTACTGAGACACTTCCCAATAAGATTTTCATGTTCTAGTTGCGAGGGTTGGGTGGGTGCTTTCTATTTTATGGGCTTCATCCAACTAAATTCTACTTACAGTAGAGTAGACCCATTAATGGGCCTGAGTTCGTCATTTCCATGCACTTCATGGGTCTCCTCTGAGTAGATTTCCGTTTACCTCTCCCATTTGCCCCTACAAGGAAGAATGCACTATTGAACGTTCACATCAACACGGGCATAGGATCTGATTGCCCATTCCAGTGCATGGCATGTTCTTCATTCATCCATCCACAGTGTGAGCCTTTCACTTCAAAAACCATTACTAAGCAATGCTTACTGGGCATTTTGTAATTCTTTCCCCCCGTAAAATCATTTAATTCTGTTTGAAACTCTTTTAAGGAAAAGGCTCCTGCCATTGATTGGCTGTTGTGCCTCCAGGCTGCTTTCTACCCGGTGCAGCTGAACATGTCTCAACCAGTTGCTGTGCATGACATGGAATATTTGAAAGGGATGTCGCAACTAATTGGAGAATGGCGGCACAAAAGGTGAGGAGCTGGTGTGTGGTACTACACAGTGGTGTGCAGTGATTTTTTTTGGTAAGGGAATAGTTAGGGCCAGAAGTACTTAAAACCCATTCTCTTAGGGTTCTATTTTTTTGGAAAAAGAGGTGCTGGAGCTCACCACGAACTTCTCCCTCCTTCTCTTAGAATGGCAATGGCATTCTGGAGGTGCTGGAGCTGAGCTCTGGCTGAAAAAAGCTCTTCTCATACCTGTGCCTTCTTATTCTTGCACATTTGAAATGCACCTGTGATGAAGTGAACCGCACACGTTCTATTTTATTTTTTATTTTTTTTGCAGGGATGTACTACAGATCTACATGATACTCTATCTGGTTAGGAATCTGTCCCCAGCTCTGGACAGACAATTCGAGGAAGCTCATCAGGAACTGACAGACAAGTTGAATAGTAGGGCAACAAACTCAGAAACGGTGAGCTTAGTTCCCTTATCTCTCACATTTTAACAGTGAGATGGAAGTTCCGCTTAGAAACTTCCACTTGGGCATTAGGGGGCATTGGCGCTCAAGGAAGGGACGAAAGGCTTAGCCACACTTCCTGTTGTCCCACTGCTTTTCTCCAGGGAAAACTGCTCTTTAGTACTCAGTTGGAGCAAACAGCAATTTCGGTTTTTCCAGATAGATGTTTGCTCCAGTTAGCACTAAGGAGCAGGTTTTTGCTCAGAAAGGGGCAGGGCAAGGGGAAAACTGCTTGGACCCATGTCTTAAAAGTGTGCGTCAAGCAGAAAACCACCTGGACCCATGCTTTCTAGGGACGACAAAAGCGGATGTGTGGAGAAGCCCCAAATGCAGAACTTTTCAAGGAACCGAGGATCATGGGTTGAATGGGGCCACAGAAGTGTGTGTGTGTGCATACATACAAGGGGGGAGGGGGCATTTTTGATTCAGCATTTGCTCTCGTTTTCCCAAGCTAGATATTTTAATGTCAGCGTTGTAGGGGCATGGACAGCTGCAGCAGACTCTTGGGTAGCTCTTATTCATCTTTGGACTTATTCAGGAGAGCTTCCCAGTGAATTGCGCCATGTGTCATCTTTCTTTCTTCCTTCCTTCCTTCCTTCCTTCCTTCCTTCCTTCCTTCCTTCCTTCCTTTCCATCTTTCCATTTTAGGTAAGAGCTGAGCGTTGGAGAAAATGCCTACATGAGACCAGCATGTTCTTTGGCCCTATACTTGGGAAGATGGTTGTGCAGGAGATTTTCCCCCAGAAGGCCAAGGATCTCGTAGGTATTCAACAATGCCAGACATAGATTTGCTTTCCTTTATCCTGCTGCCCTTCTCGCCTAATATCCTACCTAAGTGCAATGGCTGCTCTTGACTCTTGACTGATCTGGGGGGGGGGGGGGGACACATTCTGGCAGGGGGAATACCGCTGGAGAGTAAGGAATTCACATCCACTACCCAGTAGTGATGTATGGAAGTAAAAGCTGGACCATAAAGAAGGCTGATCGCCGAATAATTGATGCTTTTGAATTATGGTGCTGGAGGAGACTCTTGAGAGTCCCATGGACTGCAAGAAGATCAAACCTATCCATTCTTAAGGAAATCAGCTCTGAGCGCTCACTGGAAGGACAGATCCTGAAGCTGAGGCTCCAATACTTTGGCCACCTCATGAGAAGAGAAGACTCCCTGGAAAAGACCCTGATGTTGGGAAAGATGGAGGGCACAAGGAGAAGGGGACGACAGAGGACGAGATGGTTGGACAGTGTTCTCAAAGCTACCAGCATGAGTTTGACCAAACTGCGGGAGGCAGTGGAAGACAGGAGTGGCTGGCGTGCTCTGGTCCATGGGGTCATGAAGAGCTGGACACGACTAAACAACAACAACAATAACTCTATGCCAACCATGGCTTAGGGTCACCTTGATTACTCTGCTCCCAAGCAACTACATCTCCCAGTCTTGTTTTTACAGCATTTCCTTCTCCTTTCCCCTCTGCTTCAAATCTATTCTTTATTTCTAGCTGAGCTTCTACAATCTCTCCATCTCCTGGCTGTTTCACCTGGGCTTTGAAAACCTGCCTGGTTTTCTCTGCCCACTCGCAAATCCCTCCGTGCATCTCTTATTGCTTGTTCTGGTGGTTCCTGTATAACTGATGCAGGAAATCTATGTCTAGATAAAATATCTGTCCACAGCAACGTTATCCTGATGTGAGTCAGCTGTGCTACCTTTATGAGGACAAAGGGAAGTGCACAGTGGGTTCTGCCATTGTTGGTGGCTCTGGAAGGTTTTAACACTGTGTGGTATGCCAGGCCATGTGGGATGATATAGTATGGTATGATGTTGAATGATATTGAATTGATGAGGCAGGTTAACAAGCTCAGTAAAACAGGGTTCATTCCCCCACAGCAGTAGATAGGTTCTATGCTTATGAGAACATTTTATTCTTTTGCTAGTTATGCTGTTTCAAATGTTCCTTTTATATTTGACTTCACTCAGTAATGCTTTCTTTTGAAAGGTTTAAGATAATTTTTTTGTTGACTTTGCTAAATGTGCATTCTACAACTGACCTCCTCTGTCGTGGTTTTTAACAAATGTTTAGGATATTTTAGTTTCCTGTTAATTATGTTTGAATGGATGTTAATTGTCTTTAAATGTATACTTTATATCTGACTTTCTTCAGTAATGCTTTGTTCTGGATTGTTTTGATATTTTAATTTAGGTTGTAGACTGCTTTGAGATTGCCCCCCCCCAAAAAAATATAAAGCAGCATAGAAATTAAATTAATAATAATAATGTCAGTGACACATCATTTCTATAGCAATGCCTTTGGCCAAACCATAGTTTAGGGTTATGTGCAATGGGGAGCCTCAGAATTATGGCTCCCCATTTCCTCTTCCCGTCCAACATCAAGCTTTTGCTTCCATTTTGACTAACCACCATTTTTTGTTATGTATGAACCCTGAACTGATGCTAATGTTAACTATGGCTTAGGGAAACCAGACAGGATCAGAAATGTTTGGCGCTAGTCAACTTAGTTTTATTTAGAGTAGACCTGTTGGAATTAAGAGCCCTAAATTAGTCATGTTCATTTATTTCCCTGGGTCTGCTCTGAATAAAACTTAATTGAATATGATTTAAAGTTAGCTTCCCTCTCCCCCAGAAGATTAACCACAATTTGTCCAGGTCTGTAAATAATTATAGTTATAATTATAATGTTTTTATTATTTATACCCCACCCATTTGGCTGCGTTTCCCCAGCCACCCTGGGCAGCTTACAGAATATATAAAACAAACAGCAGTTACATGAAAACTGAAGCAAAATCTTCCAGTCCTTTCCTCGCAGCTGCATGGGAAGCTCGTGAACCTGATGTTTGTGTTGGAAAACAAGCCTTCTTCGGGAGAGACTGGCTCCTCTCCCAGGCTCCCGGCTTGCTTACCGGTGACCTCCCTGGCTGCAATCCCCGCAAGCCCAGGATAGGTCTCAATAGGCGACATCTCCCAGCATGGGAAAATGCACACCCCCTCCCTCCTTGCTTCCCAGCAGGGAAAGGAGATAGCCAGATATCTATTTACTTCGCTTTATTTCTGACTTTGCAGCACTACATAAAACATGTCCGATCACTTCAGACTCCTTCCAGCAAGAGACAGAGACTTCCTGTACATAGGCAAGAGGAAGGTCTCATATTACACTCTGAGCAAATTCCGGTGAATTGCCCTGTGAACTGACTGTAACACTGTTTCCCACAGACAGCCCCATCATGTGATGTTTTCAAGCTGGCTGTTTGCAGCTGCATTGCTCTCATATTGTAACAGTTTGTTCATGTAACACTAAACTATGGTGTAGCATTATGTCTAAATGCAACTGATGTGTTTCCTTAATCGTGTGATTTCCGTACTTTCTCTGGCCAGGCTGAGCAGATGTTCTCTGAGATCCGAGATGCCATCCACAGCCATCTGGATCAAGTGGAGTGGATGGGAAGTCAGGCCCGCCAAGAGGCCAAGGAGAAAGTATGTATGTGTGCCTGGATGGCTATCAGGACTAAGGTGTGGGTATGTGGCTTCATGAGAATCCAAATCTGGAGAACAACCGTGTTCTCCAGCTCAAAGTCCTTGAGATCAGTGGTTGGGCCACAGATGGATCCATGAATGTAGCAGGCAGAAGGGTTAATTTACTGACAAGTCAAGAGCTGACCAGGCTCCTAGTATTTATACTAGTCCTCACTAGATGTCTACTAGTCACAGGGACTGATATTACATACTTCCTTTTCTTCAGTATCTGAGCTTGAAGCTACATAGCCCTAGATTGCTCACCAGCCTAAGTTCCAGCAACAGACTCTTAAGGTCTTTGGTTCAAGCCCTACAGTCCTTGACAGAGGTCTGCGTACCTCTGAGCTTGCATTATCCACCTTAGTGAAGGGATATGGGAGGTGCATTCTGGACCAGGCCTTGAGTAATAGTCACATATCTAAATCTCAGGAGGAAGAATTTGTTTACATTCCACATTCATTGTCAGGGACTGGACTGAAGAGGAGGAGGAATGGTGGAGATCGCCCTCCCCTTCTCTTGTAGCTTCCAGAGACGGGGAAAGCAGTATCAAATTACAGTAGGGCTCTGAGGAAGATCACAGCTCAAACACAAGCAAACAGCAGAGTTATGAGGTGTTAGGAGAAGGGGAAGGCAGAGCAAGCCAGCTGACACGTCACTGGAAAGCATAACTGACCCCCTTCTCCCAGAACGCAGCATTCGTTAAGAGTGCAGAACGCGGCGTTCGTTAATTGGGAATGACTGGATTTCTTTGTCTCCCACCGTGATGACTGAATAAACTCATTAGTGTTAAGTTGTGGGTGAACATATCAGACGACACAGCGATTCTTCAAACAGCTCTTGTTTATTCACAGGCCAGAACAGAACTGAACTGAAGGGTTCAGCCAGCCTGCTTATATAGAGCTCCACTAGAACGCAACAGTAACCATTTTCTGTAACTATCCAATCCCTGAACGTCACTTTCAATCCCTTATTTGCATATGTGGACCTGAGTGAAAACTCTCTACAGTATCCCCCTGCTGGCCCAGGGTGAGAACTTCAGTACATAACAATTAGGAAGGACTATCTTTGTTTCCTCCCTGCTTCTTGCTTCCACTGGGAGAGGGAGAGAATTCCCCAAGCTTACATTCATAATTTATATATTAAATTAATTTATATATTTTATATATATTAAATTAATATATAATTTAAAAGGTGCCACTGGATGTTCAAAGCAAAACAACATCAGTCCTCTTGATAATTTTCTTGTCTTTTTAGATTTATAGCCTCCAGGTGGAGATTGGCTACCCAGAGAGCATCCTCCAAACAGATGAAGTTAACAATGAGTATCAAGAGGTGGGTGGATCAAACATTGCTTGCAGTTCCATGGTATTGCCTCCTGAAAGATGGTTCCCGTGGTACAGGAAGGTTTCAGTTTCACTGCCCTGGAACACTGCTTCACGCTTCTCCAGTGACATTTGAATCCAGCCTGTGGCTACTGTCTCATTGGCTCCTCCCCAAGAGAGTTGAGTTTGACATTTTCCTCAAATACTCCTCAACCATTTTTTACTGCGTCTGCCGTACCTTCCCACCCACATATACACAGTAGGATGCTAGCTCTGGGGCACTGGGGGAGGGGGGGTGCAAAATGGTGGCCAGACTGCCAACACAATTAGGGGGAAAGAAAGAAGCCATGTTGCTGCTGCTGCTTCTGCGAGGTCCCCTAGTTAAAGTTTCAAAGCATCCAGCGCAAGAAAAAGTAGGCATATTTTATTCATGTGTGGCTGGATAGGCATATTTTATTCATGTGTGGCTGGATACTCCAGGAATTTACAGTGAATTTTTGGAAGCTTCAACTAGAGCATGTTTTTTGCTTAGATCCTAACAGTCTAGTGATTGGAGGATTTTCTCACAGTATTTGCTTAAATCAGACAAACATGAAACCATATTCAGACAAGCCTGCCTGATACACTGCATACTCAGGTTCCACACTGAAGCAGCTAATCCGCTTATTAATATTTGCCTTGTGAGTGAAACATGTTTGCCAGTTTACAAAGCAATCCAAACCTGCAGTTTGCTGTGCAGGGTAGGAGTTGGACAAGGCAGTGGTGTCCCTCTGTCAGCGGTGTGTGTGTGTGTGTGTGTGTGTGTCTGTGTGTGTCTGTGTGTGTGTCTGTGTGTCTACTACCATGGAACAACTGACTGTGCCCATCTAAACTATTTGATTGAAGCTACAGCAGGTGATTTTCCCACTAGCATATACTCTGAAAATGGAGTGTTGAGGGGGGTGGGGGTGGGCTAGTCAAGGATCTGCTGAATCCAAAGTCAACCCAGCTGCCTGCAAGTTGTGGAAATGGGCCCAGTCCAAACCTCTTCATTGCACCAGCCTGCAGCAAGAGCTGCAATCCAGAGTTTTCATCCACTATGTAAGCTGCCCACCAGGGTTTGGGATTGTGCCCTCGGGGTGCTATTAATCCACATCAGGTTGTTTTGTCCTTCTTCCGCCTGTCTTTCAGTCACTATTATATTTTATTATTGCGTTCCATCGTTTTATATTTTGCCGTATTTTAAAATGACTCGTCTACAATATATTCAATAAACTTTTAGTGCATTTTTAATGCACCTGACTTTTACATTTTGTCTGTATATTAAGAGTGCCAATAAATTTTGTTCCATCTCCCCTTCTAATCCTATTGCATGATTTTTCCTTCAGCTGGAGATTTATGAAGATCACTTCTTCCATAATGTAGTTGCCTGCCTGAAGTCTCTGAGGAAGAGATTCTCCCTGAGACTCATCAATCCCCATCTACAGGATAAGTATGTTCTTCTTGTACGACGAAGGAGAGATTATGTGAATGCAAGACAGACAGTGATTCATAACAAGGAGAAGTGACTTTGCTCCATTCAGTCCCTTCACTGTTTTGTGGATTCACTCCCATTCTATGCGTCTTGTTTTAATATGGAGAGTTTCAAAAATTAATTCCAGGACTAGCACATCACAATTTGCTACAGCATTAATTATGCATCTTTGCACTAATCCACTAGCACATATATGTGGTAGCATTGAGATCTTCTTTACACTGTAATCGAACCAATGTACATGTGCGGTAGCCGGCAAAATCGTAGTTCATGCTCTGTGGTCTGAAGAAAGTCCAGCAGATTGCTAACTCAGTAGTGCAAGAACAAATAATTTGGAACTTCCAAAAGCAGCGAAGTCGTTCAGATAGGGCTCGTTTTAGAAACATCCCTGAATCAGATATACTTAATGACTTAACACTTGGTGGCAGGAAGGGGAATATGAGAGAGGACTTCAATGAAAAATTGTCGCATATGAGATAATTTCCAGTGATATGAAAGCTCCCATGATAGCTCATTCACAATTGCAACTCATCCCTTAGTGTTTTGGCTATAATGTAATGAGTGCTTCTCTTTTTGAACCAGTACAGTGGTACCTCGGGATGTGAACAGGATCTGTTTGGGAGCCCCGTTCACATCCTGAACGCAACGTAAGACGCAGCAGCGCATCTGTGCGTTTGTGGGTCGCGTTTGGCCGCTTCTGCGCATGACGTCATTTTGAGCGTCTGTGCATGCGCGAGCGGCGAAACCCGGAAGCAACGCGCTCCGTTACTTCCGGGTTGCCGCGGAGCGCAACTCGAATGCGCTCAACCCAAAGCACATTCAACCCGAGGTATGACTGTACTACAGTGTTACTACAAAGGTGAGGCCCGTTGAGTAGATCAGGAGGAACGAGATATGGAATAAAAATCATGGTCCAAGTCATTCCTTCCTTCACCATCATCATTTATTTTTTTTAAATGTTCTATTCCAGTTGGGAAGTTCCCCCGTGGTCTGTTCATTCATACTATTCACTGAGGCGACACGCTGTCGTTTTCCCTGCTGGAATGTTCCGCAACCCTTTCTTCCATACTGAATTTCCCAGGTAAGGACTACGTGGCGCAGAATTTCTCGCAGAACTGCTGCCCTTCCATTGCACTATGCTGCAAATAGCTGTTTTTAAAAAAACCAAAACCTGCCAAAGCAGTTTGATCAGAAAGTCTAGAGAGACAGAAATGTGGGCACAAATAATGATGGCTCTCCCATGTTTATCTTCAACAATCTGAAAAAAACCCCTTAACCTTACTTAGAATATGGAGTCCACAGGAAGGAAAACAAAGCCTGCAGCCCTTTGCTGATGTTTTGCAGGCTTCCCACATAGACAGCCTGTAGATTTCAAGCCATGGAGGTTTCACTAAGCCCTTGTCTTGTGTGTTTTTCAGCGCTGTGAACTTTGGAGCCATGGGGTTTTTCATGGCGCACGAACTGCTGCACTCCTTCTACGATTATGGTATGTAGTGGGAGGCATTGTAGATAATCTGCTGCACCTTCAGTTATTTGAACTTGTGGGGTTTTACTTCCCTAAGTGCCAGAACAACTCATTATTGCCCAGCTGTTCTGTGTGCTGAAACCCAAGGCACCAATTTCTCAACTGCAAAGTGGCTTTGGAAGGAGGCAATTTTCATTGGAGAAGTAACAGGCAGGAGGGAGGTGCTTAACCCTTCTCCCAGCAACGCACCCTCAGGTTTTGTCTGCCCCTTCCACCCACCCACCCACAGCCTCCTCTGCTCCATCCATGTTTATTTCTTCACCAATGTGGACCTGGAACCCTAGCAGTGGGGGAAGTGGCTAGGAGAGGGAAGGGGAGAAAGCAGCTTTCTCCTGGCCATCGCACATTGCCCCTTCCCAGTGCTGCTTTGCAAAAGAGAAGCAGTAGCCAAGGCATAAGTACATCGGGTAGATAGCCAGGTAGCAATTCTTAACCAAAAGTGTAAAATGCAAACTGAAGTTAAGACAGAATTTAAATCTACTGAAAAACCCAGCAAGTTCTGTATTGACTCCTTTGCCTCCATTTTAGTTGAAACCCCTCCATAATAATAATAATAATAATAATAATAATAATAATAATAATAATTTATTTATACCCCGCCCATCTGGCTGGGCTTCCCCAGCCACTCGGAGCGGCTTCCAACAAAATATTAAAATACAGTAATGCATCAAACATTAAAAGCTTCCCTAAAGAGGGCTGCCTTCAGATGTCTTCTAAAAGTCTGGTAGTTGTTGCTCTCTTTGACACCTGGTGGGAGGGCGTTCCACAGGGCGGGTGCCACTACCGAGAAGGCCCTCTGCCTGGTTCCCTGTAACGTGGCTTCTTGCAGTGAGGGAACTGCCAGAAGGCCCTCGGCGCTGGACCTCGGTGTCTGGGTAGAAGCAATCCAGCTCATGTCCCAATCCTTAACCCATCCTCAGGCACATTTAAAGCTGCCCTATTTTGGTACTCACAACCACCTCAATTAAATGGAGGAACAAAAATAGGATGAATGAGATCCTCCCCCCCCCCGGCATCTTCCATTTTTGATGATGTCATAATAACTGAGCTCTGAATGGTAAATGGTTTGCGTAGACTCTATATTTGTAGAGGCCCAAGGAGAAACGAAGTCTGGCCTTGACTTGTTTGTAACCACATAGATGATACAGTCGCCCCCCCCCCCTTTTTTAGGGACTGTAGAGTACAGAGCTTATACATGTGGGTCTTGCTTTACCAACATTCACTATGAAAAAAATCACTTAATCCAAACATGAGCAGTTAGTACCCAAAGTTTGCTGCACACACTCTACATTTAGATAACCAAGCAGGGAGCATTTTTTCCTTGTTTGGCTTTTGCTGGTTGACTGAGGAACGGAGGGAGGGGGAGCGATCAAACAAATCAGAGAGCAGTTTTTTCTGGGCTTTGGTGGTTTATTTTGGCTTCTGGAGGGCAAAATTCCATGGTCAGGTACGCATTAGTAATTCCCCCATAGGAATTAATGGAAATCATGGACTCATTATGTGAACTCTAGCCTAATGAACGATTCCCAAGGAACGCATTGCAGGTGATCACCACTTGGGACTTAACCATCCTGGATTTCCTTTCGTTTCACAGTGCTACCTGAGAACTGTCTTGCCTGTGATATGAAAACACTGGCGCAACGTATAGACTGTCTTGTGAAACAGTACGAGAGCTACTCTTTGAAGGGCCATAGCATCAATGGCTCTTTCACCCTCCTGGAGAATGCAGCTGATACTGGGGGACTTGCCATGGCTTACCAGGTACCAAAATCTGATAATCAACAGAGCTTGCAGGTACTCCTCAGTCCTCACTTGCAGCCACCATGCTGTTTTCCCTCTCCACGTATCCTTGTTGCCACTGTCTCTTAGGTGGTCTTCTTCACATCATCCCACTATGGTCCGCCTCATTTCTTCTTTTATATCTTCTTGCTAAATCCATTTGAACTTACCTTTCTTAATTGTTTACCCCACAGTGAATAGGTATTTGTGTTTCCACGCTTTCATGGATCATAATTTACCATCTTAAGAGTGTTAGTGCCTGCTCTCAATGATGTTGTCCATTAGCATTTCGGCTAGATGTTTCACCTTCAGCTTAAGAAAAACTGGGTGGGGAAAATTTTCATGCAGAGACAAAATTTCACCCAAGTACATGTGTTCAGTGGTTTGGGTACAATGCTCTCTTGGAGTGAAAACTCCATGTAAAATACCAACTTCTTTGTAATTTTGAATTTATGCATGGTCATTTTTAGTCTTTGTTTTTTAGATCTTTTCCTGTTCTGTGGTGTAAATTGCCTTAAGACTGTGTGGTCTAAGGCAGTACATCGCTGTTGCTGGCATCCGCCTGTCTTGAGAGACAATGGAGTATGCCTCCAGGGGTGAAGTCAAACTGCTGCCTATACAGTCATACAAGACATACAGTGGTGATGATGATGATACAAAACGAAGATTGATTACACTGGGCAAGCTTATATGCAGATGTAATCAACAGAACCGTGCAAAAGGGATGGAGCAGAGGAGAAATGGAGAATACCGTATTTTTCGCCCTATAGGACGCACTTTTCCCCCTCCAAAAATCAAGGGGAAATGTGTGTGCGTCCTATGGGGTGAATGCAGGCTTTCGCTGAAGCCTGGAGAGCGAGAGGGGTCGGTACGGCTCTCCGCAAGCCGTGGGAGCCCGGCGCGAAGTTGCGCCAGTCTCCCAAGGCTTCTGGAGAGCTGCCTGCATCCCGAAGCCCGGGGCGCGCTGAGAAACGCGCTCCAGGCTTCGGGCAGCTCTCTGCAAACCTGGGGAGACCGACGCGACTTCCCGCGGGCTCCGTAGGCTTGTGGATAGCAGCCTGTTCTGGGGGCTGGGGTCGGGGGAAGCTCGGGCTTCCCCTGCCCCAGCCCCGCGTCTGGGGGGGAAATAAATTTGTTTTCTTTATTCCCCCCCCCAAAAAAAACCTAGGTGCTCCCTATGGGGTGGTGCGCCCTATGGGGCAAAAAATACGGTAAACCTGTAAGACTTAGCAAACAGAGGGCTATTTCTCACTCTGCCGATGGGCACTCTCTCCCTTGGGGAATGAGAGGTCATAACAAGGGGCTCTGCAATGATGCTGGGACCTCAGATCTTCCATTTCCCACTGGGCATCTTCCAGCCAGACCAGGGAAGAGCAGAGTGCAACTCAGAAGATCCGGTGCCTTTCTGTTTATGGCAGGTGTTCCCTCCATAAAAGTCCCTACCGCTGCAACAGGTAGGGGAAGACGACAACCAGAAGGATCAAGGAAAGAAGAGGCAGGAGCAAACCACTGCAGAGTTTCTTAGTGCATTTCTCAGTAACCACTGAAGTTTTCTGGGTGTCCTAGTGCAAAGGAAGGTTTCCCATTCAGAGGATGCCGTTGGAAAGTCATGCTTGAAATAGGGAAATGTATTTTGAGATTTGTAATCGAGAGTTCTTTTCTCCCCTTTTGCCCACAGGCATATAAGAACTGGTTGGAAAAACACAGAGAGGTGAAGAAGTTACCTTGGCCTGAGGTCTCACACCACCAGCTCTTCTTCATTAGCTTTGCCCATGTAATGTACCCTTTGCTACCTTTTCGCGTTTCCTCTGTTTTGCTCTGGCTGGCTTTTAGCTACATCAGTCCCATCTCAGCTCTCACATCCTTACACATTGCCTTCATGCTTTTTGGAAGCAGGTGCAAAACTATTTTTTTGTAGGGCAACAGCAGTTGCTCTTCATTTCTCCTGGGCTTTTAAAACTGTTTTTGCTTGTAGTTTGAGAACAATTAGAAGAGGCAGTATATCATATGATAAAAATATTTTTTAAAAAATAGTACAGCACACTAAAGTCAAAAAGGAATCAATTTCACTTGCTTTTCATCTCTTTACTTATTTGAGAGTCACTGCATCAAATGTAGTGGGGTTTACTTCTGAGTAAATCTGCATGGGATTGGGAATTCTAATCTGAGGTAGTCATTGTGAAAACTGAAGCAGGGTAATCTTTATTCCAGATTAGTTAATGTAATACAGAAAACCTTTTGTCTGCCCATTGTCAACTCTCACTGTTTCCACCACTTGCATGAAGCTCCCCACAGATTACTCTTGAAAAAAATATGGTCCTCGACAGAAAAAAGTTTGTCTACTTTGAACCCATACAAGCCACTGGACCTAACAACATTTATACATGGGTGTTTTCCACCAGTTTAGGTTTTGCTGCTCAGAGCTGGCTTAACATCTTTTTAGTAATGTTTGAAGCCTGACGAAAACCTGCACGACTTGTTTCTTTGACAAGAGACCATGGTGGAGCAGATAACTAAAACGAACATGGACAATTGCTATAATAACCACCCCAAAGAGTTGACAATTATTTGGGTGCTTCTCTCAAGGCTAGACTTTCCATGTAATGTAAAAGAAGACCTTCATTCATGCAGCTATCAGGACCTAAAGGTCCTACTTTACGTTACATGGAAATTCCACAAGCCAATTTGTTCTAGAATATGTGTGGTTCCGCTGCCCCCAAACTTTCTTTCCCACAACGAAAGCTGAGTGGAAACGTGACATAAACATGGAGGAGAAATGACTCACTTGTTAACCAGAGGTCAATTATTCACACCCCTGTCTTCTCTGCAGGCAATGTGTGGGCACCAGAGCCCCGAAGGACTGCAAAGCTTCTTGCACAGAGATCCCCACAGCCCCCCGCCACTCCGTGTCCTTGGGTCCCTAAGCAACAGCGAAGATTTCTCCAGGCACTTCCACTGTCTGAGTAAATCACCAGTAAATCCAGCTGTGAAGTGCCACATCTGGTAAAAAGAAGAAGATGCTGAAGAGCATGTGGGACTGTTGGTGCAAAAAGATGGAGACAGACACTGAGGGCTCATGCGGATTCAGTGGTGTCAGCGATGTGCGCAGTAGCCACTTACCCCAATTCCTTCCATGTGCAATGCCGCCCCTTCTTCCTCCGCTACGTCCATCCAAGTGGTCAAGGTGGAAGAAGATTCCATCCTTCCATCAAGAAGGAAGAGAATACAGAGAAGATACTGTGTTGCAAAAAAATTGCTACTTTAAAAAAATAATAATACCCTCAACGGCCTTATGGACGACTTGGAACTGAGGAACTGAAGATCAGTTGACAAGTCTCTGGTGACTGTGTTTAGTGGCTCTTTTCCAATCAAAGATGAAAAGAACAGTGAGAGACTTTCTGAATAGTATACCCCGTGCTATTTTTCTAGAAAAAGAAGTGTCGGAACCGTGAACGCCTCCTTTGTTCTCTTATAATGGCTATGGCGTCCACCTGAGAGGTTCTGGAACTGAGTTCTGCCAAGTTCTGGCTAAAAAAAAAAAGCCCTGACTATAACCACATGGAACAATGAGACACTAAGATTCAATTCATGTCAAACATAGCTAACTGTAGTTTAGACACAAACCATGACCTAGTTCTTGGTGCCACAGGACTTGTTGTTTTTGCTGTGATAGACTGTCTACCCCTCTCATTAAGGTGGTAAATCTGTGTCTGTACTACTTCAGAATGCAAGCAAGGGTTCATGTGACTGCTTATTCTCCATACAAAAATTTATTTCCATATAGAAAACCAGAACAGAGTTCCATCTTGCCTTCTCCTTTACACGCTAGTTTCATAAATTCTGGGATTATTCTATATTAAAGAGTATTCCATCATCAAAGTCTGAAGTCGTACACTCAACACACAAGTTGACCACTTCATTGAGAACTAGGCCTGCCATGGTTTGATCTTCTAAACCCCCAAAGGCAAGCCATAGTTTAAAGTTGCTTATTTGCTTTTGTCCCCTCAGCTTCATATGTCTTCCTTCACTTCCTTGGTGTAGTGACCAAAAAATGGTGATAGCTATGGTTTTGTGAATTTAGACTGCGCTAAACTATAGTTAGGGAACACCATGGTTTCCAAACCCACTTCAAACCATGGTTTCTAACTCTGGTTTGCTGACTGTTAATAAATTACCATCTGTCAATTTAGACATCGCACCAAAACCATGAAAAGTTAAGGTTTGGTGTGATGTTTGACTTGAACCTAGATGAATGTACATTGTTTCCTAAATGTGTTTTTATTTTATACTTTATATATATATGAGATACAGCCTTAAGATTTTGTATGTGTCAAAGGGAGTGAAATTGTGTTGTCTTTATTCCATCATCTGGAGGCCTAATCAACAGGTTGTCACCTGGCCTGTGGTCCATTAAAGATCTAGCAAATTTTAATCAAGTTCAAACAAACAAAAGGCTCACAGTTTCACTTAAAGGGAAAAATAGTCTTCATGTATATTTCATATGGATTCTATTGCATTGCCAACTCATGTTCATTCTGGGAAAAGGGATGATATTGTTGCTAATTTGCCTTCAAGGCATTCTTTTAGGGAGCAAATTATTTATTCAGCACCACAGCCAAAGAACATCTGCTCTCCAAACACCTGTGTTCAATACTGCTACATGGCTGCAACTATATTGTGGAACTTGCTGGGCATGGAGCCTGAAACTCATGGGATGCAATCACAATACTGTCTGGTAACTCAGGTGGAGTCAAGGGGGGACAGAACCTAGTAGTGGTGAAGGCAGAGGATGGTTCCAGGCAGTTCAAGAGAAGAGCCTATTTGTGCCAGGAATGGAGCAGGTGGCAAAAAGCCAGTGGTGTAGCGTGGGGGGTGCAGGGGGGGCCGGGCGCAACATCTGGGGGTTAGGGGGCGCAAATCCACGGGTTAGGGGGCGCAAATTACTTGCCTTGTCCTGGGTGCTGACAACCCACGCTACGCCACTGCAAAAAGCTATCTCAAAATAGTCTGCTCATGTGATTTGGCTTTTCACACTGGCCAGGATAGGGGGCTGTGAGACATGGGGAGGCAGTTTAGCCCTTCCCTAAAAGTGTCATGGTGCCAACAAAAACCACCTCTCTGAAGCTGCTGTTTCTCCCCATCTAGTTTGGCTCTGACCTGAATTCTGAGAATTGTCTCCTGAGGACTGAAGAAAGATGGAGGAGCTTACCTCTAACTAATAATGAGAGTGAAGGAGATGTGACAGGGTGGTAGCAGGCCTCTCTTGTTTTCTACTGTAGTCTCACTTAGCTCTAAGAACCTCTGGAGATGGCGTAGTAGCTGAGATTAGACATCTCCCGCCTCCTCAGTATAACTTCAAGGCAAGCTCCTCCAGGCAACTTCCCTCAGCAGTCAGGAGGGAGCCTTCTGAATTCTTAAAAGACTGAGCAAAGCTGCTTTTCAAATGGTGAGGCTTACATGGAGCCAAACTATCTTCTCTTCAGAACTTAACACATTGTGGTGAAACTATGGGAAGTGTCCCACTTCAGATTATAGGTGGGCGATTGCATGACTGAAAACTCCTCCTCCAAAAATAAACTTCAAACCCTTCTGCGCATAGAAAACTAGGATATCTGTGAGGAAGCTATGCTGGAATTCTCTTGGACGTTTGGTTTTCTATGTGCAGGGGGAAGATTTCAAAAAACAAATTGAGGTATTTTCCATCATGCAGTATCCTGCCTGTAATCAAACCGTTTTACCTCATGATTAGGTAGATCTTTCTAGAAAGCTTTCAAAGCCCAAGAGCCTATGACAAGGTGTCACCATGGGAGGATCAAAAGGCACACTTCTCACTTAGAACAAACTCTACAAGCTTTGGTCAGAGGTTTTATTGTTCTCGGGGGACCATGAATGTGGAGGTGTGTGTAGCTGTTACAAAAGCCCCTGTTCTCCGGTGGAGCCCCAAAAGTCCCTGGACATGAGCGATGAAGCCACAGCTGCTTCTCAGAAGGCAATCATGAAGCACAAGTAGATGTTCATGTTGTCTTCATCCATTACCATTGCTAAGACTTCGGGCTCTATGTCACGCATAAAAAAAACAGCATGACACTGGCTGTGTTCAGAGAGACGGCCAAGTCCAGCAACATGTCCTTCACGGCCGCATTCCCCAGCAGTTGGGAGTCCTCGCTCTCAGCCATGTCGATCACCTCCATGCCTTCCCCTGTTGATGAAGCCACAAATGTTTCTTCCATCTTCCCCCCGCCTTAAACATAAAGGGGGAATCAAAAATCTCTTTTCTATGATTCTCACTCTTTCATTCACTCCGTGTGCTGACACTCCATTCTGCCCTTTCCCGTGAATTGTGTTTACATTCCCTTCTTAGGCTAAATCTAGACATGTAGTTAAAAAACCGTTGTGAAAATGCTTTTTAAAGAAATGTTCTAAATTATATGCATATTGAATTTCCCATTCACTCACCATCGCCAACTAGTGTTACATTTGTAACGTGCACTTAAAACACCCTTAAAACGTTATATTTGAGTCCCTTAGTTTATCCTGACACTACCTCTAGCAAATTTGCATTGCGTTTTCATGAGAACCGGGTTTTCCTGAGAAAGTGGTTGTTTCAAGAGGAATGGAAATGTTTTGCAACACACGCACTTGCATGCTACATGTGGTGCATTTGATATAGCTATTTGCAGACGTGTCTCTCAGACTGTTGCTGCTTCACCCCTGGAGGCTGATGCGGAGGAAATAATTCTCCCTGCTGTGCCACATTGTACTGGCAGTTTCATTGCTCTCCTGCGCTGCACAGAAAGCCTTTGGTCCAATCCAGCTGCAGTCAATGAACATGTATGCATGCCTATCTGAAAGCAATGCAGTGTGTGCTGATGGCACCCGTGGTTCAGTGCACGAGGTGAATGCGCTCCCTCTTCCCCACCACGTTGACACCTCTCCAAACAATCTTTGCCCCCTTGTAAACAGCTGTGAACAAATTTATTTTATGGACACAAAAGTGCACCCCACCCCACTTCTGCTGGGCATGCCTATTTAGTTTTCTATGCATTCTAGCAATTGCCAGTTACTGGGGAACCACTGAATGCATCTCACGAAATCCTGGGGCACAGGAGAAATTCTGGGGCACAGAGTTAATACTTCACAATGGTTGTCCATTTCTAGGTAACGGGTGAGCAATCTGTCTTTAACGAAAGCATGACTGCCACAATCAATCTCCTTGAGGATTTTAGGACAAACCTGGGGTTCTCGTAGATAGATCCTGGCTTTTGAAAGCCACTGCCCGGTAAACAAGGCTGCACAGCTTGTGACTCACATACCCTCCAACATTCCTCAGATGAAAATAGGGACATTTCTCACTCCCCTGCAACTGACCCTCTGAGACCCCCCGTTTTTTGCCGTCCCCCCACAGAGCATTTCCTATCAGAAGAAGGGTGAGTGCCACCATCACTACACCAACAGGACACAGCACACACACCCTCCAACATCCTGAGAAAATCCCTTCATCCCAATTTTATTCCCAGGGCAGAGTTCCCTGGGAGGAGGGATTGTGAATCAAATAGGGGTCTCCTAGCAACTCAGTACACTTAACAAACTGGGGTTCCAGGATTCTTTGGGGGAATTCACGACTGTTTAAAGGGATATGACCCTGCTTTAAGGGTATGGGGCCAGTGGGGCCACTTGCCTATCCAAATCTATCCAAATGTTGCTGAATATTTTGGAACAGCAGTAGCTGTTCTATAAGTGCCACACAATCCACTGTGAGATGAAACTTTCTATGAAACGTTTCAAAGGATTTTTTAATAGGCAACTCTTTCTGCCCATTTACCAGCACATCCTGCTTCCGCGTTCAGCCCAGGGAAAGCTATTGCAGATGGTTGGTGGAGCTGTGGTCTAAACCACTGAGTCTCTTGGGCTTGCCGATCAGAAGGTCGGTGGTTCGAATCCCTGCAACAAGGTGAGCCCCCGTTGCTCAGTCCCAGCTCCTGATAACCTAGCAGTTTGAAAGCACGCCAGTGCAAGTAGATAAATAGGTACCACTGTGGCAGGAAGGTAAACAGCGTTTCTGTGCGCTCTGGCTTTTGTCACGGTGTCCCATTGCACCAGAAGCAGTTTAGTCATGCTAGCCACACGACCCTGAAAGCTGTCTGTGGACAAGCGCTGGCTCCTTCAGCCTGAAAGCGAGATGAGCGCCGAAACCCCACAGTCGCCTTTGACTGGACTTAACTGTCCAGGGGTCCTTTACCTATCAATATATGAAGACAGCTGGTGGGGGGAGGGGGACATTCCACATTCGTGGTGTGGGTTTTTTAGGCACAGGTTTTCACTCTCACTGTTGCCATCTTCCTACTGCTATGTCACCACCTTCTGTCTGTTTTGCCTCTGTTCCTGACACCACTGATTTCTCAGGTTGCTATGCCCTGTGGCTCTATCATATTACTTACCTCCTCCCTGTCTCTTGTCCATGGTTGCTTGGAGGACAGCTTGGCTGATGAAGCCATCAGAGTAAACAAGGAAGTGGGTTGTGAAGAGCACAGCCAACAGGCCGATGGTACCCTCCAGGGACACCATTGGGACCAGATCACCCTTTCTCCACCTCTACCATTTGAAAGGACAGGAGACACCCCTCCTCATGGACCCCCTTGAGTTAATGAAGCACTGTGTCAGGTTTCTCACTCCTGAACAGGGCTCATGACATCACCAGACCTTTGTGACATAATACGAGCTCACACACTTCTTCTGCATGCCTCCAGTGAGCAGGATCACAAAGGGAAGGGGACAACAAATAATGAAAACGCAGTTGTCTTTGAACAGAGAAAATCTCAGTACAAAGAATGGGGCTGAGGTTTGGGCCAGGAAGACAACTGGCTGATGTTTATTATATGTAGATACCAATCCAACAGGAAGCGATCCAACATTTCTCCAATGAAAATAGGGGCACCCTATTCAATTGATATTAATATTATTATTAATAGCCTGTCCATCTGATTGGGTTGCCCCAGCCACTCTGGGCGGCTTCCAACAGATATAAAACATTAAACATTAAAAAAATCCCTATACAGGGCTGCCTTCAGATGTCTAAAGGTTGTATAGATACTTATCGCCTTGGTTTGGGGGTCGCTTAACTCCATACCCTCCAACATTTCACTGATGAAAACAGAGATGTCCTGGGGAAAGGGGGGCATTCCAGGATCAAATCAGGAACTGGGACAGCTTCTGTAAATCCAGGACTGTCCCTGGAAAATAGGGACACTTGGAGGGTCTGTGTTCTTATTAAATTTTCAGAAACCTGGAACTATAGCTGAACAACGGCACACATCCTGTTGATGCAGCTCCTGAAATCTCATAGAAAACTTGATGTAATCATTCTACTTCTCATGTCAGGAAAATCATCCCTCTACTAAATATCCCCACAACTAGGAGGCAGCGTTGTCCCCTGTAGTATTGCCATCTCTCAAAATAAACGAATCTGGGGAGGTGGTGGTGGCAGCTGTTCATTTCCATGGGACTTGTGGAGGAAAGCATCTAGTTGGATGGTACCCACTGGGACTTTGAAAGACGAACACTTATTCACTAAGATAGCCTCCAGATGGTGCTCTAACATAGTAGATATGTTAGTCCTGGGAAAGGAGACTATCAGCAAGTGAATCAATACAGTACTGCTTTTTATTTACGTCTGACAGGCACCTCCTCTGTGATGCCTTGTTGCAGAGCATCATCTTTATTTTTTCGTGTCATCCCAGACTGAAAAAGATCTTGCATGATCTAGCCTAGGTCCTCTACTAAGCCTGTAGCCTAGGAAGACCCATAGCTCAGAGGGAGAGCATCTGCTTTGCATGTAGAAGGCCAGGGTTCAATCCCTCAGCCACCTCAGTTAGGGCTGGGGAAGTCCCCTGCCTGAAACGCAGACAGTCCACTGTGAACCAGTATAGACTAGACAATACTGAGCTAGACAACCAATAGACAGGAGCTGCAAGGTACACTTGAACAAAATTAGTTGAAAAACCCTCAAGACCACAAACTGGGTGGGAAGCTTCTCCAAGAGTCAATACTTTCTTTTTTGTAAAAACATATATTAATTTTTTCTGTTTTACATTTTAGAATGTTCATTTTAAAAAAGCTTAAAATATCAGTGACTTCGCTTCTTCTCTTTCCATGGTTCTTCTTGTTCTCTTCTTCTATATGTTAAGTCAGCAAGCTGCACATATTCCATCAGTTTAAGTTGCCATTCTTCTTTAGCTGGGACCTCACTTGTTTTCCATTTTTGGGCTAACAAAACACAGGCCACAGTAGTTGTTGTTTAGTCGATTAGTCGTGTCCGACTCTTCGTGACCCCATGGACCAGAGCACACCAGGCACTCCTGTCTTCCACTGCCTCCCGCAGTTTGATCAAACTCATGTTGGTAGCTTCAAGAACACTGTCCAACCATCTCGTCCTCTGTCGCCCCCTTCTCCTTGTGCCCTCCATCTTTCCCAACATCAGGGTCTTTTCCAGGGAGACTTCTCTTCTCATGAGGTGGCCACAGTCTTGGAGCCTCAGCTTTAGGATCTGTCCTTCCAGTGAGCACTCAGGCCTGATTTCCTTCAGAATGGATAGGTTTGATCTTCTTGCAGTCCATGGGACTCTCAAGAGTCTCCTCCAGCACCAGAATTCAAAAGCATACATAAATAACCTTTTTTTTTTTTTGACACCTGGGAATTCCCAAAAGTCAATACTCATAGCTTCTTAAAAATGCAAGCCTTCTTCCTTCAGTTGTGGTAACATTAACCTTGCAGTTTCAAGCATATTAGCATTTTACTTGGTTGACATGACACCAGGTCTCTGACTGACAGCTGCCGATCTCTGGAGGCTTCTCATACAACTCCTGTAAACAGGAGCCACATTGGAAAGGGCAGGGTAATTCTGAGCATCCCTCCCACCACCTATTGGTTCCTTCCATTCCTGTCACATTCATGGTACAATATGGAGCAGGGGTGCCAATTTGAATAATTTTTTTTTTGCGGGGGGGTGGGGTGGAGGTAAACCCAATCCTGCATAATCGATCACAAGATACAGTGCTCACACACTATTTGAATGGGAATACCCATCAACTTTTGGGGAGGCAGCCCCCTCAAATATTTTATTGGGGAGATGGTGAAGGCACCTTGGCCACTATGATATGGAGTCAGTTGGCACAAGTCCGTATTCCAAAAAACTCTTAACTTCCTTTCAATAGGGAAAAAATTATGAAATGAGGGTATCTTAAAATGGAGGACAAGCAAGGATCCCTTGACCAGCAAGGATTTGTGGGGTAGGTTGCTCAGTGCTCTAGGGGAGGGAGAAATTGTATTGGTTGGCTAAAATACGGCTCAGTTAACAGGAATATTTTGTTTCCAATTCCTAATTCAACCCCATATTTCTAAAAATCCACAGGGTTTTTGCAGTTTGGTTTTCTAGCTTCCCCAAAAGACATCAGGCAGACATCACCTAGGTTGATTCAGGGGGACTCTGAGAGACATAAATATCAGAAAGAGACTATTTGGGTGATCTGGAAATCATTATCTGGCTATCCAGATATCAAGGAACACATAGGCCAGGAGAGTATCCGACATAGATGTTGCTGATTACAGTTCCCATTATCCTAGACCTTTGGCCATGCTGGCTGGAGCTAATGGGACTTAGAGTCCAAAGGATGGAGAGCACCACTATTGGTTATAGGCTTATCAGCTGCAAAGGAGGACGGGATTCTTGTACCTTTAATAGCCAAGGAGAGAAAACGGAGATGAATTTTAGCAAGGGGAGGAAGAGTTTGGATTTGATATCCCACTTTATCACTACCCGAAGGAGTCTCAAAGCGGCTAACATTCTCCTTTCCCTTCCTCACCCACAACAAACACTCTGTGAGGTGAGTGAGGCTGAGAGACTTCAGAGAAGTGTGACTAGCCCAAGGTCACCCAGCAGCTGCATGTGGAGGAGCGGAGACGCGAACCCCGTTCACCAGTTTATGAGTCTACCGCTCTTAACCACTACACCACACTGGCTCTCCAATTCCACTGGAATTGGTCTCATGCCTCCAAAACAGGCATAGGCAAACTCCGACCCTCCAGATGTTTGGGACTACAGTTCCCATCATCCCTAGCTAACAGGACCAGTAGTCAGCGATGATGGGAATTGTAGTCCCAAACATCTGGAGGGCTGGAGTTTGCCTATGCCTGCTCCAAAACAACCTGCCCATGCTGCCCTTCCCTCTTCTGTTCAACAATAAAAGGCATAGGAGCCTAGTTTTCATTTGAAGGTGGCCACTTTGCAAGCAACCCTGTTTGGCTTCTAGAACTTCTGCTCCAGATTTCAGGGCCAGCTTTTCCCCTCTTAATATCCGAAATGAGGTGTGTGCAGATGAGGCAGATGGGTTAATGCTCCCCCCGCCAGGGCAAACAAGCAGTCACATGAGCCTGTCGCCTAACGCAGTTCTCCGGTCCAGCGGAGCACAGAAGAGGTTATCGCCCTCCGCATCAAAACACTGTCCCCATCGAGCTCCTTGGGTGTAAGCTCATTCCCAAGAGTGGGCGTGAAGACCCCCAGGCAAGAAGGAGCCAGTGAAGGGAAGAAGCAAATTGGAATGAAAGATCCTAATCGGCCTGCTTGCTAATCGGTGCCCAAGACTTGGCTCCTCGCAAGGAGGAGGGGATTAGGCCAAGGAAAGACCTTTTCCACTTGCAGGGCAGAACTTGGGCAGAGAAGGGCATGGAGGACAAGGGAAGGGCAGGCAGAGAATTGCAGAGTTGGAAGGGATTCAATCATCTAGTCCAACCCCTTGCAACCCAGCGCTGGGACAAAAGAGATCGTAGAAAAATCACAGGCAAAGCTATTCTGTGACTAAAGATAAAGGAAAAGGAGCCCTGGATGGTTGAGTCCAGTCAAAGGCGACTATGGGGTTGCGGCGCTCATCTCACTTTCAGGCCGAGGGAGCTGGCTAAACCACTTCTGGCGCAACGGGACACCATGACGGAAACCAGAGCGTACGGAAACACCATTTACCTTCCCGCTGCAGCAGTACCTATTTATCTACTTGTACTGGTGTGCTTTCGAACTGCTAGGTTGGCAGGAGCTGGGACAGAGCAACGAGAGCTCACCCCGTCATGGGGATTCGAACCGCCGACCTTCTAATCAGCAAGCCCAAGAGGCTCAATGGTTTAGACCACAGCGCCACCCGTACTGTATCTCTGTAAACTTCATCTGTGACTACAGGTTTACAGGACAGGTTTAACAGCCTCCCTAAATCCAGGAAAGGAATGTTCTGATGAACAGGGCAAACCAGAGGTAGCAGCGCCTGGTTCCTTTGTAAAACTGGGATGGCGGAGGAGCAGGTGGGCTCCACTCCACAATGCAGGTATTATTTGATTCGAGTCCCCAGTGCAAATACCCAATCGGGTACTGTTCACATGATCTTCCCCTGCTTTTTGAGTGGGAAGAATCACCCACAGTGGGCTTCCATGTGGCTTTCGTATCATTCCTCCACATCATGCTGTCGCAGCTGAATGTACAAACCCAGGCCCCAGCAAGGAACTGTTGTCAGTCAGAAAAAGCAGAAGTTGTGTATTGTCAGGATGGATGATAGTGCGGACATGCTTAGAATTCCCCCAGCGAAAGAAATTAGAATAGCCGAAGCAGAGGAACCTTCAGTGAGTTGCCCCGAGGCTGCGAAATGAGCTGCCAAAACAGATACAATCTCTGTCAGTCTCTTTAACACAATCGAAAAATGTATTTGCTTTTAACCTTTATAAATTGCCTTTCGACTGATTGTATCCAAGACAGTAGAGAACAGCAGCGTGAAAACAGCTTGATAGTTTAAAATGGCAGCATGTCAGAACAATTCGTTAGAATAAATATTGCAACCGAATGAAAATCTGTAAATGGAAAGGTTAGTGTTCACCAGATGCTTGGAAATGCACAGAGTAGGGCACAGGTGGGCTTTTTATTTTTATTTTAAAGGGGAGCCTGTTTGTTGAGATGGTTTTGGAGATGTCTACTTTCTACCCAAATGGATCAAGCGTGCAACCTTAGTGGCTGGGGCAACCCAGTTAGATGGGTGGGGTATAAAATAATAATAATAATAATAATAATAATAATAATAATAATAATAATTAGATAGTACACCCTTGTTTTCATAGGAGAAATGTTGGCGTGTATGCAGGAGTGGCCTGGGGTAGGGTAGGGAACACAGACATGGGCCGCTGCTGAAAATGTAATGATTTGTAGCGATTCGGCTGTTTTCTGCAATTGCCACCAAACTTACCACAACGTTCTGGAAAAAAGTACAGCACAGATAACTGGGAGTGGTGAGAGGTGCTGCCCCGCGGCACTGCGGCTGCTCTCATGTCACTGAGTACACTTCGAGGTCTCTGCGGTCATTCTTCCTGAGGCAGGCAGTCCCTCACATTTCTGCATCTTGCTTATTACTATTATCAAGGTGTTACACACACTGTACTGCCAGAATCTATTTTTAATACCTGACCTGTGCATTCTAAGCCTTGCCAAACAGGCTGACTATTCCTTGTCTCGAGCAGAGAGCTTCGCTCCCTCCAGGCCATTGCAACATTAATGCTCTTCTTGGAGGAGGTTTGAGTCGCAGTTTAGTTGCCAAGTTTCCCTTATTTTATGCCAGAGATTACCACCTTGTATGTCCTCAGCAAAAACTCTAATCTGCATAAAACCGTTGGGGGGCTAAGAGTAATCAAGTTCTGCAAGTTAGGTTGGAGTCTACGGGCAGTAAGGGGTTCTGGAGCACACAGATACATGCACAAAATCCATGTATGTAACACTGAAGCATAGACTATCTCTGTTTCCTAGTGTTCAGATCTTCCCTATTAGGGAAATCACAGGCCAAGGCTTTACAACACAT